GGATGTACTCCATGGTTTAGGGGAAGATAGGGGATGGATCTCTAAACCGGATTTTGTGTGACATTGATACAGCGCTACAATGTGTATCAGGCTGCGAATTTGAAGTGTTTGTTTTGATTTGATATAGCACTAAAATGTATATCGTTATCAATTGTGAAGTATAGAAGTGTTTCTATGTTATGTTGATATAACACCAAAATGTGTATCGCTCGTATAGTATGGAAGTGACTTATGTGTTATTGATACAGCATCACAATGTGTATCCACCATGAATTTCGAAAATGTTTTAAGATGAGTCTTATTCTCATCAAGTTATTTGGCTAAGTTTTGAGCCTTGTTTTCAAACTCAAGGTTGAAAAAGAAATGAGAAATGAAATGTAACATGGACTTAATGTCATGAAATCGAAATGTGATATATGTAGATGTATCTGTGTTGACCATCTATCAACTTCTAATCTTTTAGTCATTGTTCATGGCTGGTTTAGTGTATCTATACTGGGCTGTGGCTCACCCTTTATGGGACATCATTTTCAGGTACAAGTAGCATGCCACTTCCAAGGACATAGCTTGGGAGGCTAGAGGCAGACTGACTGCTTGTTATTTACTTTCTTTTGATGTATTACATGTAAATTCAAGCCAAGGACTTAATATGTATTGAGTTAGCACTCTTCTTTTTGTAACCAAGTGTTAACTTGGAAAGCTGTAAGCCCGTAGGGCATTTGTTTTTGTTGTTAACATGTAATACTCTTGTAAGAACTATTCAGATTAATGGAAAGATGGTTGGTTTTTTTGTATCAATGCATGTCTAAAGAGATGGGTTTTTATGTATTTTTTTGTGGGCGTTACAATTAATTTAAAACATTGTAGACGTTCCCGAACATCCCGGGAGGAATGAGGTCCCGTTCTGTTCATTTGGGCTCACTACAAGTTCGGACTCTCAAATTGTCACAGTTCTTAATCTGAACCAAAGAGTCCAAATCCGGCCAATCGTTTTGAGAAAACAGATTTTTGAAAGAAATGCCAAACATGGATTGCTTTGCCAGATACAGTGTCGCCACCTAAATATTTTATTTTTGAGAAATTTAGGAAACCTTGCGTTGCCTAAGGCCACGTGTCCGTCATCACCAAAGTTGCCTCGGCTCGGGAACTTGGGTACGATTGGGGAAGGTCACTTCGTGAGCACCCCCGCTCGCCCGATCAAAGATCGACCTCTACTAACCATGATATCTAGTTTTGAAAACTTTATGCGTTCTTATTCCAGTTATTAGCCTAGATTTACTATGTGATGCGCACAGCATACAAGTATAGACTGGATCGTCTGAATTGGAACAAAACTTTTCATGTTTATTTTTGAAAGTGGTTTGATGGTGCTACCCGCAAGTAGGCTAAGACGTGGATTTGCCACCCTCGGGTGGGCTTAGAAAAACATGATTTTGCCACTATCTAGTGGGCTTAAAACTCATAGTCAATGCATTTATTCCAATTCAAATAATCCAACCTTCACCCACAGACATTCAGGCAGTTATATCACATAAGTATATAGCCTCATGGTAAACATGTTATCATGGCAGTCACTCACACACATGCAAGGATGCTAAAGCATAAAACTTACCGAGTACTCCAAGCCAAAACAGAAGCTAATTAGAAATCCATGCATGATCCTAACTATACAGAAATGCCTAATGCAACACACGCAAAAATGCAACTATAGAAGGCTCGGCTTTTCTAAAGATGGCATGCGAAATGCTACAACTAACATGTATTCAACTTGGAATTGAAATACAAATGTAGTTAGTATGATGTGTCGAGTCCAGTGCATACAAGACAGATGAATGAATGCAAACATGCTATCATACTGTATGCTAATTGAAACATGCCCTAATCTAACCATCATAAGCTGATAAATAAAAGGGAGAAAGACGTGGGGTTGGAAAACATGCATCACACACACGCACACTTATTATAACATTGCCCTCGCGCAGAGGGTCCGAATAAATAATACAGTCCCAAATGAATAAATAATACAGTCCCGAATAAATACAGAATCCTAATTAATTAACAAATTAATCTAGGAAAGCAGTAAATTGGCATGCGAATCCATGGACCGCCTCAGCTCTGTTCCAAATGATGAATGATGCATGCTCGGGTTGCCTTGTGCGGAGAATCCCTTGCGATGCCCCGGTTTGCCTCTGTTTGCAATTATTCTTGGGATGCGTGCCAGGCTCCGTATAGAAGCGCCTGCGGGCCTCGCTACAGTTCGGACTCAGTTTGTGTTATGGTCCTTAATCTGAACCAAAGAGTCCAAATCCGGTAAATCGTTTTGAGAAACAGATTTTTGAAAGAAGTGCCAAACATGGACTGCTTTGCCAGA